TCAGCAGTTATCTAGCGTAACTGTGATATGCAATTTGCTGGCTTGTTATGCCCACACACCAAAAAATGAGTCTTCCCTTCGGATAGTGTGCTTGTGTGGCTGCTTTAGAGTGCCTCGTTGTTGATGAAAAACGGAAGCGCACGACGGGGGCTAACCAACGGTTGGATAAATTTTAAAAGCCCAATTTGACAGCCACCATGTGGACGGAGGCTTTGAGCAAGCGTGGTCACTTTCGAGCGCCTCATTGTCATGGCCCGTAAAAGTTCTTCGGGAAACTGATGGGATACATTCGAGCCAAAGGGTTTACGGCATATTTTTGCAGTCCAAACATGTCAGGTTCTGTTGACATAAAAAAGACGCTAGATGAAGTAGCCTGCATTTTCCAGGTTGTAGAAGTGGTATTTCATGAACAGGGCATGGGTTCCGTGCACACATTTGAGAGCAGAGACAATGACATGATTTTTTTTTCCCACAAATTTGAAGTCTCATTTTCCATATATACTTGCTGTGGTTTTTTTTTAATCATTCAAATTTGGCCGGCTTATTCATAACACTCTCGTATGACCTTGTGCTCGACATCAAGGACATGGAAGAAATGGCCAAAGCGCTTTCCTACAAGCCAATCCACGAGGCTTTGCCGAAAAAGCGCTTTCACGTCCTGTTTGCGCAAAGCCCCCGCCAAGCCTCATCCCCCCCTCTCAACTCAAATGAAGACGTCTGAGTGAGGGTGGGAAGCGCTCTTGCACGTGTTGGGCGGCTTTACCGCGAGACCGACGCACACAACAAAAGGGAACTCGGCACTTTTTAATTTCAAAATGAAATTGGTATCACTGGGACGAGAATTATATGAGCACACAGCAGCAACACATTCAAATAAAATAGCACGACTAGTTTAATTCAATAAAAAATGGTAATGTGCTTTTTAAAAAGGAAAATAGGACTCGACAACATTGCACTTTATTAAAACAAATCCTACGACCAACATACATGTCATAATACCCGCTCTTGCACGTGTTGGGCGGCTTTACCGCGAGACTGACGCACACAACAAAAGGGAACTCGGCAGTTTAGGTTCAAACAGAGAAGGATAAGAGGAGACTTTGCCATCCCCTTGCTAGAGTCTGCTGCGGGTTGCGTACTGACGGGACGCCCAGCTGGTATTGAAGCTCGCGCTACCCGGAGTGTTGGCTCTCCATCCTATTGACGCACGGTAAGAGCTGGGTACTATTCTAAGAGCTTGATACACTGATATTTGCTTGTTTGACATATTCTGTGGCGCTAATAAACGTGCAATTTGTTAGTAGCAGATTTGTCTCTTGTGTTATTGAATGATTGTGTGACATATTCTGTGGCGCTAATAAACGTGCAATTTGTTAGTAGCAGATTTGTCTCTTGTGATTCATTTCTGAGTGCCTATCTCCAACGATCCTATTCTAAATTTGATACTGAGCCAGGGCGAGGTATCAGAAATGTTTTAAAACAGCTGGCAACCAGTTCAGTGTCCCCTGCCTATTGACCAAAGACAACTGGGATAGGCTCCAGCACCCCCCGCGACCCTTGTGAGGATAAGTGGATCGGAAAATGAATGGATGGATGGATGGATGGACTGTCATGATCCTGTTCTTGTGTGTCTCCAGCAGGTGGCAGTGGAGGGCTTTTCCTCCAGCAGTGCACACCTGCTGCCAATTGCATCATCCTGTTCAGGCAAGTATTGAAGGACTGCCAAGATCCCATGTCTCTGTTGGCTTATTGACTTTATTATTGCTCTTGCTCAAGGGTTGTTTTTGAGACCTCTCATTGTCGTTTTTTGCTCTCAAGCCTCTCGCCGCGTAAGTACTGTATTTAAGTTATTTTGTCTTTGATCTGGCTCATGTTTTTAATTTTGTGAAATTGGACTCAAGTAATTTCATTTATAATCTCGGATTTTATTTCTTTGCAAGTGCTTTTTGTAAATGTGTTGTATGTGATGTTTTGGGATTTTGATTTCGTTTTTGTTTTAAAAAAATGCCGTAATTTAAAAAAAAAATCAAAAATTATTAATTTTGTTTATTTTTTTATTAGTATAAGTTTTAGTCAAACAAATGTGTGTGTGTGTGTGTGTGTGTGTGTGTGTGTGTGTGTGTGTGTGTGTGTGCGCGTGTGTGTGTTTGGTTTGCACAGTAACCATGTTGCAATGTCTTTTTTTGATGTTTTTTTTTTTTTTTGTTTTTTGAAAATCTCACACACACAAAAAAG